GCAGCGCACGCCGCCGCCCCGTCCGCCCGAGCCGCCGCAGCTCCGCCCGGCCCCGGCCCGCCTGCCGGAGCTCCGACCCGCCCCGGCTCCGTCCGCCACCGCCTCGCACGCCGTCGCCGCCCCGCCCGGCTTCGTCCGCCACCGCCCCTGCCACACGCCGTCGCCGCTCCACCGCTCTCCGATGGCGCCGAAGAAGGCGCCGAAGGGCAAGTCGGGCTTCTTCGGCGTGAGGCAGAAACCCTCCGGTAACTTCGGAGTGGAGTTCTCCGACGCCGGGAGGCGTTGGTGGATCGGCACGTACCCCTCCGTCCACGAGGCCACACGTGCCTACGACGTGGCGGTGTGGCGTGCCGAGAGGCCTTGGGAGCACCTCAACTTCCTAGAGATCGAGAGTCGGGCGGAAGTGGAGATGCTTGTGCCGCAGGGCATCAAGATGAAGGAGATCCCGACGAAGAAGAAGACGACGAAGAAGCCGTCAGTTGTCGTCGGTGCCGGCGAGACCGACGAGGAGGCGATGGCGAGGTTTGCTCCGGAGCATCAGGAGTACGTCCAGGCTGAGCTGGAGTACTACTGGAAGCGTGAGGCGGAGCAGAAGGAGGACGAGACCGGTCCCTCAACGGTGATCCCCATCGAGTCCTCTTCCGAGGAGGACTGGGCAGACTTCTTGAAGGAGGAGGAGGAGGGGTGCGACAACCCGGAGAAGGAGTTCTGGGCGCAGTTCCGCAGCTTCGACGATGAGTAGTAGTTTGAATAAGTAGTAGTTGAAATTCATGTATGAAACTATGTTGAATTTGATGTTTGAACTATGTTGAATGAACTAGTAGTTTGTCGTTTTAAGAAATTTACGTCTTCATTTTGAACCATCTATTGGAGCTGCTCTTTTGGACCATCACCATCTATTGGAGCTGCTCTTTTGAACCATCAATTTGGACCATTTGTTGGAGTTGAGCTTTTTTCGGAGCTCCAAAACGCATTTTTTGGCGGTCCAAATTTTACATCTCCGGTTTTGGACCGCCAAATTTTGGACCATTTATTAGAGATGCTCTTAGACAAGATAAACCACCCTGACATAGATCTACCGGCTGCCGGTATGGCATCGACTACAGGGCCCCATGAGCTCAAATTGAACAGCCAATGGAACTCTCCCAGCTATGTATCTACCAACAGTCTTCACAGCTCTATGAGCTTCGTCAACACCTCTCTTGCTCATCGGCCAGCATTTGGCAATCCTACTTGAGGTAGTGCATTTGCCAATGGTACCAGGCCCTTGAATACACCTATTGTAGTCATAGGTTGTGTCCAGCGTCAAGCGCTCAAGCGTGTGTGCTCTCAAGGATGTGAACCGTGAGCTCAACCAGGCTCTTGGCTGAACAGAATCCCGTGATCGTCATGTGTCTGAGGCGGTTATGCGACAAGTCCAGCTTCTGCTTCGGGCATTCGTAATTATCTCCAACAACAGGATAGTGTTTCATGACATACTCATTTACCTGCATATATATATGTAGGATTAACGTCAATGTCGAAGTATAATACGGTAATACCATAGATACATCTGAGAGATATGGATAGTGACTTACGTGTAGGGTGAAAGACTCCAAGGCAGGAGAAGCATCAAGAAAAGAAACCAAAGAAAAGAAGTCATAGCTTGGAGGGGAGCCTTTGGGGTGGACTGCTCTGAGTCTAATTTCCAAGTTCTTGAGGTGGGGTAGCTTGGATTGTAGCAACGGAGTGTTGGCATTCTGAAAAACGATAAATTACAAGATTAATCACATGTTCCTGCATCAAACTACTCCTATACACTGTTCCCTATATACTTGAATTGTCCCAATAATTTGATCATTATAAGATGGTAAATGCACATACCTCGCTACGACCAACCAATATAAGACTCTCAACATTCCATGCGATGGACGGAAGAATAGTGCGAGCATAAAAAAGAACACCAGACGAGCGTGCAGATGATAACTGTACATGCTTAAGTTGAGAACAATTTCTCACGTAGAATTCTGGCAAAGCGCTGTCATAGTTAAAATAGCAGAGGTTTGGAGCATCAATCTCTACAACCCGCAGCATGCTGCAAAGTTGAACATCAAGTATCTTGAGATGTCGCATCGTACAAGGTATTTTCAAGCAAATTATCCCATGGCATGCGAATATTCTGAGCTCCTCTAAGGTAGAAGATTTTGAAAACAAGTGCTCCAATCCTTCCTCGGTAGTGTGGACAAAAGACAATCTTACAGTTTT